CCCCAAAACCCCAAAACCCCAAAACCCCAAAACCCCAAAACCCCATGATTGTGCAGATTTGCACAATAAACTATAATGGAAAATTTAAAATAATAGCAAGCTGGTTTAAGAGACCATCAAAAGTACCAGCAAAGTTAGGATATTGTTTAGTTGAGGAACGAAAGCAATGACCACAACTGGAAGAAAAGATATGTTCAGGACATGATATATAAGCAGATGGAGATATCACAGTATTAGTAAGCTTGCTTGCATTGTTTTAAGCAGTTTAGTTGGAATTTTATTGACACACCCGAGTTCAAGAGATTGCATGACATCAAGTAACTTGGCACTCTTTATTATGTCTTCCCAGGCGCAACCCATTCAAGATTCTCGCACTCACTTGGTATGTAAACTTTGATATCATCCTTGTGAATCTAACACACTTAATGTAAATAGGCACTGGGTATTTAGCGACTGAATCCATGAAGCATTTACGCGACATAGCAGTGGAAGATGCAAGGTATAACTAAGTCTACAAGAAATGCTAGGAGGCTGCTCTAGATATCGATGATTAGGATATTAGGAATGTGGGTTTGGCAGGCTTAATGCATGACTTGGGTCATGGTATTTATTCGCATTTGTTTGACCGAGATCTAATGCCACACATCTTAAAGTATGATTATCCATTAAAATTTCTCTAGGCAGTATGGTATAAAGTGGGAGCATGAAGACGCATCAGTAATGATGCTTCAACACCTCGTTGACCAGAATCACATAGATATTGAGCAGGACGACTTGAACTTTGTTTCTAAGTTGATTAAGGGAGATGTTCCTTCCCAAGATCACCCTAAAAGTAAGTAAAAAATAAATTTGTGCACAAAGACACATAAATCTTATAATTTAATTGCGAGGGATACTAACACAGTGTATCTAATTTTAATCTTTTTCAAATCTAACTAAATCTTAATCGCTATTAAACATATTCTAAACTGAACCTTTCCTTATAGGATGGATGTTTGACATAGTGGCTAATAAAACTAACAGTCTAGATGTAGACAAGTTTGACTATCTGCAGAGAGATTCTAAGCACATGGGAATAAAAACTGTGGGTTTCGACTACAATCGTATTATTAAGAACTCAAGAGTTATTAATGGCCAGCTCTGCTACAATTAGAAAATATACTATGAGTTGGCGCAAGTATTCCACACTAGATACAAGCTTTTCAAGGATACCTATACCCATAGAGTCTGCAAAGCAATTGATTACATGATAGTTGATGCTCTATTACTAGCAAACAACTATTTTAAATTCCAAGAGAAGATATTCGACCCATTTGCATACACAAACTTAACTGACAGCGTGCTCTCACATATAGAAATGAGTAAAAAACCTGAACTAAGAGATTCATAGAAAATATTGAAAAATCTGAGGGAAAGAAACATATATAGATATATTGATTAGAAACTACTGGTTGAAAAAGATCTCAACAAGTAGATTACTGCATAAGAAATAGTAGGCTACTAGGATGTAAGCAAATTCAATGTAGAACTAAGGCCTGAAGACATCATAGTTAGCTTCCATACTTTAAACTGGGGAAAAGGCAATGAAAACCCCTTGAATGCAGTTAGATTCTATAGATAAAATGAAAATGATATAGGTAAGTAATCTATCAACCCTTGTCTAATGCTTAATTTAGAAACTTTCTACAAAACAAGATAAGAAGTTGGACTTTGCCACCCAAAAGTCTATCAAGAACATTATTTAAGAGTCTTTGTTAAAGACGAGACCAAGGTAAGATTTTCTAATGTAATAACACACCAAAGTTTGATGCAGCAAAGCATGCATTTGCCACGATGTGCAAGAAATATAAACATTAGCTTGGAGAAAACTCTTTCTCACCAGAACGCGGTAGACTATACGCTTCTCAGAGAAGACTAAGTTAGGACAACAAAGCCTTCTTAAGCCAAAATTCAAGTGCATATAAGCGTGAAAATTCTCTCAAACTAGAAAATTTGGAGGCTAAACTTCTTTAATCATAGCAAGATATTTGGGATCAGGATGAATTCCTAAACAATGGTCATAATGGCAATGGTAGCGGCAATGGGCTTGCTGCTATCAATAAAAGATTAAAATTTGATCAAAAGTAGTGATCAATGGATATAAAACTAAACATAGAGTTATGGCATGTTACTGCAGATAAAATGTTTATCAAATTGGCGCCCAATGAAACAAGATTAATTTATCAATAATTTACCTTTAAATATCTTTTACCTCAAAATTCTATAAGAATTTTGATTATGGGGTTTTGGGGTTTTGGGGGGATTTTATCATGT